AGCAAAACCAAAAGGGATAGTCCCGCGAAACCCTCAACCCCTTGATTCACTTCAAAGTTCGCTCCTCCACTGCTTTGCTGCTCGCTGCAGGTCTCGATCCCCGGATCTGCCTCGTGAAAGTCCAGTGACGTAACCTATAAGGCTAAGCCCAAGCCTGACACAGCTGCATGCCAACTTCGCTATAAAGAGTATTTTCAGCTAGGTCGGTCAGCAGCAGCGTGCTATAGACCATCAGTTGACTCATTGCCTGCGCCTCAGGCCCTCTAATGCCGCACTTGGCTGGCTAGGGGGCAAGGCTCCACTTGGCCCACCACGCATGCCTGCTCTGCTACGGTACGGCTGYGGGTCGTGCCTCKCATAACCKCCACGACGCCCCTTTTCCGCCYTCCTGCCRAAGAAGCCCCGACCGTTGCTCTAGTTTGTTCCATCCTTASTGGGCTTCCGCGGCGGCCCYTGCTAYTGCCRSAGCATGGTCAACCTASTGCCTGCGAATATTTTGCACGGCGCCGCTCTGAACGTCGGCCTCTAGTAAGTCAGACAACATCCTCCCCTAGTCACATGCTTACCTGGTCAACGCGACGCTGCCCGTAACTTTGCCCGTGTGTGCGAGGCTGCGACAGCCTCAGAAAATCTACCCTGGCCCTTATTTGTCCTACCGGTGTCTCATAGTCTTCCTTGATCAATCGCTTGGTTCGGCTAACGAGTGCCCGGAAAGCGCATGCTCACACACTCTGTAATCAACATAAATAGGACGCGCCCCCAGGTATCGCCAGGCCCGTTCTTCTTGTAAGATGCAAATATGTGCCCAAATACCCTTGTAAGGGTGTTCGGGCCGACAATGTATAGTGACAATTGGAGTTAGAAATTTGTGGATCTTGGTGGCATAGAGTATCTTAGGCAATGTTGTGCATACCTGATATCATTAGGGTAGGTTGGTACCCATATCAATACAATTTTGCATGCCCATATACTCGAGCAATAATCTTTTGTACTTGACACAAGCACTAAGCTACCTAGGTCGTCATGACAGTGTCAGATTACGCTCGCGTTAGGAAATGGCATATCAAAGGTCAAAGTTTGACGTTCTAGCATCAATCCTCTTTGGACACAAGTCGAATCTTTAAGAGGTGAATGAGCTTTGATTGTATGGGTCATTGTTATTTGATGATGTGAGAATTGTTCGAGAATAAGAAACGTCTCAGTTATGCATTTGCGTATTTAAGCATGTATAATGACAGCTTTGGCTAACACCGTTTTGATTTTGATATTTCAGGTGATTAGACAAGGATTTGTCTGTCTGATGCAGCTAAGGATGAGTGAGGCGACATCAATATTGCTAAGCGAATTTCATTGTCGGATTCAGCTCTATAAATACCTATTATGACCATTATAACCATTTTGGTTATTATGAACGCTATAACTTATGATTCGAGTATGGTAAAATAGCCTTCTCAAAATAAACTGGGGGCTGGGCGCGACCACGGCCGCGGTTGATAAATCTCATCAGTGGTTGTCGTTTCGTTTCGGCCTCCTAAAAGATCGGAGAGCCCCACCCGATGCCGCCATGGGAAACGGTGGTGGTGCTTTTAMAAAAAAAAAAAAAAAAAAAAAGACTCTCACTTCCATAGCGACAAACAATTACCAAAACCAAGTCTTCTTTTTTACAGGCGGCCTAAAACGGCCTAGCATCATGAATACTATCTTCCTACACCTCAACAACCTAATAAATTGGCCCTGAGTTTTTATGAGTGCAGCCAATCTGCGAACTTTAAACCTCTTTCTACTAAGATTGACACCCAACCGCTGTTTATAGCCCATGTCCGCAAAAACCAATATCAACTTTTCCTAGTCTGTCTGCGGGCTGACTGCCAGTCCACTCGAATTCTCTGCCTTATCAACCTGTTTTGGAAGGAGACCGTCTCGTGTTTGAAGGTCGCTTTATTGCGGGTTTGTGATGCGTAGCCTCACGCCTCGCACAGCCTTCCGTACTTCGAACGCCGATCAGAGTTATTAGGGGTCTGACCGAGGATTTTTGGCCGTGGGGGTTGAGTCATCCGGATGAAACGGGAGACTCTTGCTTCGGCCTGAGGTGCCTGGGCAGGGATTTGAGCTATCGCCGAACGTGTATGATGGGAGGACAGTGTCCTACGGTCTAACCATCATCCTTTTTCGAAAAAAAATAAATAAAAACGAGACGAGAGGAGAAGAGAAACGAAGCAGACAGGGGTGGAGTTTCGTTCCTTGAGGCACAGGGTTCATGCGGCCCTCGGGGTTTGAGGCCCCAAAAACAGGTTCAAGCTTCGTTGTCGGACTCATCTAGTCCGTGCGGACAGCACGGCACGGGCTCGCCCAGGGTCGAACTGGTCAATGGGACCCAGGTTCGGAAATGGGCGGGGAGCGCACCCGCGTTGTGGGAGAGTTCGGGGAATCGCGTAGCCCCTTCGTACCCCTTTCCCTGGCGACACAAGTGACAATTAAACCACTGTCGCCTGGTGGCGTGCACAGCGGACCAAGGCAACACCGTGAGGTCAGTGTACGACAAAACTAAAGGCGTGAAAGCAAATCGCTCAATCAACACAAACCCACTCCCGCCTATATGGAAGGCCTGGGTCGGTTTATAAAGGTGGACTTGCTTAGTGCGCCGCAGCAGGCTTCACACGTCCGCATCGCAGTAGATGCCATCGTTGTCTGCAATCGGGAAGGGCAGAAGCGCGTTGCAACGCTCTAAGGCCAGGTCCGAGCTCGGGCCACGGCCCGCGTTTCCGTCCGTCGAGACGAAACCTGACTCCATGCAAAGATGAACGAATGCCGCTGAAGAAGGATGCGCCCAGATCTCTTTCTCCGTCTCTTCTCTGTATCATCAACCTCAACGTTGTCTCGGGCACCCGTGGTGGATATAGAGAGGTCGGCCGCTTCGCGAGGACGCGGGTGGCCGATCTCTCCGAAAGTATCCGCCTCCTCTTGGGGTCCCGACCGTCGCCATAAAAGAGAGAGAGAGAGAGAGAGAGAGAGAGAGAGAGAGAGAGAGAGAGAGAGAGAGAGAGAGAGAGAGAGAGAGAGAGAGAGAGAGANGAGAGAGAGAGAGAGAGAGAGAGAGAGAGAGAGAGAGAGAGAGAGAGAGAGAGAGAGAGAGAGAGAGAGAGAGAGACGACGAAAGGAGGTTGGCGCATATTACATACACTCGCACAAATAATCAAAAAGAAAGGGACACGGGAAAGACCAACGCATTCATGCCCTCATGCAAGTAATCAACACTTGATACTTCCGCTTATCAAGCACAGAGGCGCATAAACACACGCATACCCATAGAGCCTTCAATGAAATATTCGACATCCATAGACTTTCATACCTGACATGCATAACAGATTACCCAACCTTTGGAGTCATGCACACATCACACGGGGACAAAGCAACAATGGAGGAAAAACTTCGTCTTCAAAATACAGAATTTTCTCAACTGGCTGCTCAGGACCTAGTCCCCCATCCGTCAAAACCACCGACAACCATAGTCACAAGGCCCTGCCGCTGTCGTCATCTGATCCCCACCACCGCTCGATCCCTCCGATTGCCTTACCCCAAGTCTACTGCTAACTCCGCCACCCGCCGTCACTCCGCCCACCACGGTGCGCGTCGAGCCTTTCCAGCGCTGCGGTCTTCGCACATAGCTCGCGCAACTTGCAGCCGAGATCAAAAGAGAGTGAGAGGAAGGGATTGTGAGAATTTATAGCGCGGAAGGCGGCGGAGAGGCTGCGTGAAGCGCGGGGTGTAGATGGTCAGGACAGAAGAAGGGGAGACGTTCCAGAAGGGTCGAAGGAGGCGAATCGAATGTTCCTCGTGATTGGGGTGGTCGTCCAAGTGGGGTGCACTTCCCTCGGCCACCACATTGCCCCGACCATCCCAATCAGACAACCAATCATTCGCAGGGAAAGGAGAAGGAGGGGATCGGACTTCCTTGAGAGGGAAGAGGAAGAGACATGCAGGAAGGAGCTGCCCAACAAAAAGGGAAGATGGCGAGGGGATGCAGAGCGGGGGAACAGGTTTACGAGGCACGCAAAATATTCAAAAACCGCCGCACGCCCAAAAATTCAAAATTCCTACTCCCGCTAAGTCCCAATTGTGTCTTGAATTTCTTGGCGCGGCCGCTAACCAGCTCTGCCAGACCCGAATTACATTTTCTATTCCGCACCCACTCCCCTTAAACAAAAAAGGAAAAAGAAAAAGGAAAACGAAACACTGCTTTCCCCATTATCTTAAATCCATACTTCGGTGTTCTACGTGGGATTTTCCCTTAGGGGTACGGGAAACCGTCGAGTGAGGATCCTGGCTTATCATCTGTGATGCGCAGGGGGTTCCGAAAAAATAGCAGTCTCCCGACTGTTGTATAGCCCTCCTAAATTCCTAATTACCTTGATGATCCGGGCAGCCACTTCTTCGCCAGCTGGCCCGATTCATCACCTACTCTACTTCGATGCCTCTCGCATCGCTATGGATCTCCCCTCCTATTATACACCTGATTGGGCGGCCCCTTCATCGTGAGCTGGGCCGATCAATTTTTTTTTTTTTTTTTATACATAGCGCGTTTTGCCGCTCGACCTTTGTACTTAGAACAGAAGAAGAAGAACAAGAGAGGGGTAAGAAGAAAAAGGTCAGAAGAAATGATCGATCTCGGGATTAAGAGGGGGATTAAGAGGAGGAAGTAAGGCTGCCAGCTCAGCCGGAGTCATCGGCGTCTCCACCTCATTGAAGTGGTGTTGGGCAAAGGAGGGATAGAGAAACGCCCCCGGTACATATGCCACAACGTGTGGTGCCAGATTTGTAGTACCCCGTACAACCCATCGCCGCACCGTGCAATTCCCGGGACCTGTCATCACCAGATGGGTCTCGGTATACGGCCTTCGCTCCCTCCAAAGCACCGCGATGACGAGGAAATGGTACATTACATTTGGCCGCTTGCCGGCCTCGTAGATGAGCGTTCCTGCTAGTCTGGCCACGACGCATCCTTCAAATGGCGGCTCCAGATGTGGCTCCCATGAAGGATCAGGACGCGGGCCCCCCTCGATCGCTTCGAGCCTGATGGTTGCAGGCTCCACCATGAACGCGACATTCATCGGGTGGACCGTCCGGCTCGGAGGAACTGCTAAGGTCAATGACCGGGCCACGCCTGGGTGGCTGGCGGAAGTGGAAAGGACCTGCGAGGATGGCGGGTCCGTGTGCGGGATATGGTACTCTTCCCACTTCTCCTCCTCCTGCTGGTGCTGATGGGCCGGCTCCATCAAGATTGAGGTCGGGAAGGAGCAGCGGATAAGGTGTCAGCTCCGGCGGGTTCCCTCGTATCTGAAATCTGCTTGTTTCCGCTCCTTCCCCCAGCAGAGGTCCCTCGATCGGTGTCGCCTTGCTCTCTGGAACCGGATCTGGCTTCCACACCCGCCCGGCCTGGTCCACCTGTTCTTCGGGTCCCACTCGGCTTCCTTGCGCTTCTGGCGATGGCTGGCGACGTCTCTTCTTGGGCGTCTTCCTGAGGGCCCTCGGGGCTACAGGCTTGGGGTAGGATGAGGGAGGCCGCAACAACTTCCGATGGACAATGCTCACCACCTTTTCCCCCTTCCGCGCGATATAGTCCGCTATCACCGTCGTGTGGTAAGATCGTCGCGGAGTTGATGCTATTCGCAGGCGGAGTTGGAGATCCTCTTCTTCGTTGGCGATCACTTGCACGATAAACAACAACTGGATATGAATGAGCTCCAGCAGTCCCGACCGGCTCGTCCCAATCTCCCCGAACGGGTATAATGCCACCGTGCCCTCCTTCTTATCCGACTTAGGTCGCAAGATGACGTAGTACACCTGCAGGTTCTCGATGATGTTGTGATCATCGTACGACACGACCAACCGGAACATGCCCCACACCACCAATCGATATAGTGCGCGGTGCAATTCCCACACGTCCGCCTCAGCTTGCAGCAGCGGCTCCACATCGTCCAGCTCCACCAGGTACTCGGGGAAATTGCGCATGGGGTAGGGGCTCTCCGTGAGTTGATAGGGGAGGGTGGTGTAAGAAAAGAAGGGAGGCATTCAGTATGAGGGAGCGGGGATGACTTGGATGTTTAAAGGATCGGCGGGGGGGAGAAGCGAGGGCAATCAAGGCACTAGGGTCAGTGGTCCGTCCGGCGTCCGTCACAACAGTGCGTGATATGGTGTGAATCGATGACCCCTTCCCTGCGTGCACGCCACCGATCTATCTACCTGCACCTCGTACTCTCGCAAAAACTTCCACGCCGGTTCTCGGTGTCAATCGTCTAGGAGTGTCAATCGTCCAGGAGTGTCAATCGTCCAGGAGTGTCAAGTCGCCGATGACAGTGGCGATGCTGTGCACGAAGTTTGCAGCTACCTGGAGCGCGTGGAACTTGATGAACACCCTGGTGGTTTCCCGACCAGGCAGTTGCGTGACGTCCACGTACACACCCCCATGTAGGTTACTCGTTCGCTCAAGGGCGAGTACGTGGCGAGATCTGCCATGCTGGGCCCGGCACGTTCACCTGCTAGACGTCGTATCGCAACGGTCGATCATCATTGAATCAATGCCGCAATAAGTGATCCACGATCGATGTTTGGAAATGCGCTCAACTGGCTCATTCCCCTGCTGGTGTTGGCTCATCCTGCGCGATCGAGTCGTCAACCTCAAGCGACTAAGTGGATTGGAAGGAGGAAGAAGAAGAAGCAAGTGAGGACGAGGAAGTAGAGGGAGAAAGTTGGGACGACGCCTGAGCCCGCTCGCGATCCAACGATGGCTAGAATGGACGAAGGGCAGCAGCGTGGTGAGTCAGCGGTCTGACCTGTGCGCTGTGCCGGGGGATCAGCTTTACGGAGTGCTGGCCTTGCACGCCAACTTTCATCACCTCGTAAATGCCAGTATAGCGAGGGTGAATCTTGGAGGAGCGCGCGGATTTCTGTACCTGCACTAGATCCCCGATCTTATAGCGGGGCAGCGGACCAGTGGAGGCATGTCGGTTCTCGTAATCTCTGATTTGCCGCTGGTGTGTCAGATACACGACCCTTTGTTGCCTTCGGGCTAGCGAGGGGTAGGTCCTAGTCATCAGATCCATGTAATGCTGGGCCTTTTCTCGGTGTTGATCCCGGGTCGCTCTAACTTCCGTACCCACTAGAGATGAGAACTGCACTCGGGGGATACTATTGGTTCTTAGTTGAAATGGGGACACCCCTATACTGCTGTGTGGGGTAGCTCGATAGACGGTCAGGACATGGTCGACTATGACAGGCCAGGGCCTGGTATCTCCTGCAGTAATGTTCCGTCGATTGGCGTTCTCTACGAACCCGTTGGCCTGTGGCCAGTGCCCAGGTGAGTACAAAATCTTAACGTCAGCCTTTACGAGATGTCGCTCTACCGCCCCTTGGAATTCCGACCCGTTATCCATGTGGACGTCGTCTACGTCCAAATGCATGCACAAAAAGCGATTAATATACCAGGGTACTTTTTGTGAGTTCCGACTAGTCATAGGATAGGCCTCGATCCTCTTGGAGAAATGATCGACGACCACTAAAAGGACATTGAGCTCGCCCTGATCGACGGGACCTTTTGGTACGTTGATGTCCGTCGTATCGATGCTAACTTGTTTGAAGGGGCGTTCTACTCTAGTCGATACCATCGTTCGTGGCATCTGTACCGACGCCTTATCGACCGCACAGGTCGGGCAGTTTTGGACGATGTATCTGACATCCTCCCGAATTCCCGACCAATACCATCTGTTTTTCTTTATAGTTTTTTTCGTATATCTGACCGAGAAATGAACCGCATCCTCTTTGTGGGCAGCTCGTGTCCAATGGCACCTAGCGAGAGGATGTGGAACGTCATGCAGCTAGACCCGCTCTTGTCATTGTCTTCTTGTTTTTGCAAGGCTGATTCCTGCCAACGATAATCATGATCTCGCTCCGTGACTCACCGACATTTCGCCTTGGTAAGCTCCGCCAGCGGGTGTCCCTCGCGTCTCTTCAACAGGATAAGATCCGTCCAGACCTCTGCTCTACGGACACTTGGCAAAAGTCCATTTTCTGTCATAGCCTTTGTATACCATTTCTCTATGGGTACTTGGTTCGTTCGGCAATTGGGACAGTTGCCCTCCTTCTCCCTAACGCAATATCCGTGGGACCAGATCACGTGGCACTGGCCGCATCGTACCCATGAGATAAAACTAGGTCCTCCGGGGTGTGAGTGCCCCCGGTCCGATATTATAGGCAAGGTGTAGAAAAATCAGGAATCCAGGGATAGCCTAGGGGGGGAGTGAGGGATTGACGGGTAGGTCGAAGAGCCTAGGGAAGATGAAGGGGTAGTTGTCACTTCAAGAGGGGTCGCCATCCCGCGCCTCAGTGCTTTGCTTGCCAATGACGTGTTCTTCTCCGTAGCGAGGCACCGTCATGGTGACAGCTCCCGTAGGTGGAGTTGAGCCGTGCCTTGCGCGACCTGGTCCTGTCGTAGGGGTTTGCGAGAGATACGGCTGGCGCACTCGGTCGGAGTGGCAAACGCTCTCCGTGACAAGTCCTGCAAAATCCTGCGTGACGCGGCCGAGAAGGTCCCCGTGCGGGACCGATGCACTCAACAGGTGGCGCCGTTGCCGGCGATCTCGACTGCCTACCGGGGTCCTTAAGAGAACGAACCCAGGTTAAGTGCAGGCTGATGATCTAGGCAAAACGACACAAGCTTATGGTTTAGATTTTCTTATATAAGAGGATTGTGTATGAGGTAATAATAAGACTAAGTGATTAGAAATGCGGCTTAAGGTGGTGTCTGAGGTTTTGAGTAACTAATAGTAGAGCGATTGGCTGAACTTAGAGGTGAAATGGCTGGATAAGAATTATGACAAGTCCCTTAGAACTTGACAAACTGTCTGATGGGCTATCTTTTTCCTAACAGGTTGGTTGGCAAAAAAAAAGGTAAAAATGTCGGACGCCGATGGAATCGAGTGAGACCCGGCTGCTACGTCGGAGGATTTCGTCAAAGCTATTTGAAAAGAAAGCTGACACGACTACAAGTGCCAAAAGTTGACCTCTTCCTGTTTAAAGGGGAAAAGGTGTCTAAATGGTTGGAGCTGTTGGAACAAGTTACAGCCGAGGTACCTGAGGAAGATAAGTTCAAGTCTCTGCCCAGATATATCTGGTGGGAGATCCGGCCCGAGATAATGAAAGTGATTGTCGGATTAGGAGGAGATTGGGCCAAGTTCAAAGGAGGGATGCAAAGGCGCTTCAAGCTAGGGGATGGTCTGCTGATGAAGACAGACCTGGAAATGTTGCAGAGAGATGAGTTCTCCACGGTGGGGGTTTTCGTGACGACATTCGAGAAGATGGCAAGAAAAGTTCCAGGATTGGTTGAAGAAGAGCAGTGTGCAACCTTCCTGGGGCACTTCAAGAATTGGGAGGCCTTTGCGCTAACCAAGAAGGCTGCGCCAGGGAAGAAGTTGACTTGGGCTGCCATAAAATGAGGCGTGTTAGAGGGAGAGATGAACCAAGTAGACATCTTCCAAATGCGACAGGCTAGGAAGAAGAGGAAGGCTTTGGATGCCACGACGAGTGACGGAAGAGAGTTTCAGAAGATGGTAGAGGATGTTGTTGCCCAACAATGAAATTCGCTTAGCAATATTGATGTCGCCTCACTCATCCTTAGCTGCATCAGACAGACAAATCGTTCTCTAATCACCTGAAATATTAAAATCAAAACGGTGTTGGCCAAAGCTGTCATTATACACGCTAAAATACGCAAATGCATAACTGAGACGTTTCTTATTCTCGAACAATCCTCACATCATCAAATAACAATGACCCATACAATCAAAGCTCATTCACCTCTTAAAGATTCGAATTGTGTCCAAAGAGGATTGATGCTAGAACGTCAAACTTTGACCTTTAATAGGCCATTTCCTAACGCGAGCGTAATCTGACACTGTCATGACAACTAAGGTAGCTTAGTGCTTGTGTCAAGTACAAAAGATTCTTGCTCGAGTATATGGGCATGCAAAGTTGTACTGATATGGGTACCAACCTACCCTAATGATATCAAGTATGCACAACATTGCCTAAGATACTCTATGCCACCAAGATCCACAAATTTCTAACTGCAATTGTCACTATACGTTGTCGGCCCGAACACCCTTACAACGGTATTTGGGCACATATTTGCAGCTTACAGGAAGAACGCGCCTGGCGATACCTGGGGGCGCATCCCATTTATGTTGATTACAGAGTGTGTGAGCATGCACTTTCCGGGCACGCGTTAGCCGAACCAAGTAAGGGCCAGGCTACATTTTCTGAGGCAGTCGCAGCCTCGCACGCACGGGCAAAGTTACGGGCAACGTCGCGTTGACCAGGTAAGCATGTGACTAGGGGAGGATGTTGTCTGACTTACTAGAGGCCGACGTTCAGAGCGGCGCCGTGCAAAATATTCGCAGGCASTAGGTTGACCATGCTSYGGCARTAGCARGGGCCGCCGCGGAAGCCCASTAAGGATGGAACAAACTAGAGCAACGGTCGGGGCTTCTTYGGCAGGARGGCGGAAAAGGGGCGTCGTGGMGGTTATGMGAGGCACGACCCRCAGCCGTACCGTAGCAGAGCAGGCATGCGTGGTGGGCCAAGTGGAGCCTTGCCCCCTAGCCAGCCAAGTGCGGCATTAGAGGGCCTGAGGCGCAGGCAATGAGTCAACTGATGGTCTATAGCACGCTGCTGCTGACCGACCTAGCTGAAAATACTCTTTATAGCGAAGTTGGCATGCAGCTGTGTCAGGCTTGGGCTTAGCCTTATAGGTTACGTCACTGGACTTTCACGAGGCAGATCCGGGGATCGAGACCTGCAGCGAGCAGCAAAGCAGTGGAGGAGCGAACTTTGAAGTGAATCAAGGGGTTGAGGGTTTCGCGGGACTATCCCCTTTGGTTTTGCTGAGGGGAGTCGGCCGCGGGCCCGGGAGAAAGCACCAAGTACTAGCGGGCTCCTCCCCCACCCGTTTTTCTTCTTTACTATTTTCTATCTCTAAGTTTTAATTTTAATTTTAATTTTTAATTTTTTCCTAATTTTTTATTTTTTCCTTTGGGACCTGCGGTGGGGCCCAGCGGCCTAGTCCGGTGGATACACCACGAACTGTTGCCTTGGTACAGTCCTTCGGGACATCC